TTAGAAAAAATGTCAAAATTTTTCCTGATATAAGGTTATTAATTCTGGAAATATGAGCCTTCTACGGAAAAAGGATGGAATATAAAAAACGGATCGACTTTTTTTACCGGGAATAGCTAAAAAAGTTAATTTAGCCTGGAACTCTACATAAACTAAACACCGGAGTGCTGTAAATATGAGAGTTCGTGGTTATTTTTTTATTTTTGGAACGATTACTAACGTTCCTTTTCATTTTTTACTTTAGGAACGGTTCTTGGACGTCTGGAACTCTGGAATGGCAAGTCGAGGGGAGAATGGGGTATTGTTAAAACGTAAGAGACAATTCCTTCTCCGATTTTGAAGAAAAAGAATAACGCCGAGTCTCATAAAAGAGAACGACTAGATTTGCATTGTGAGGAATACCCCAAACCCCGGAACCTTTCGTATTCCCCTTTCCCTTTCGTATTCCCCTTTCCCTTTCGTATTCCCCTTTCCCTTTCGTATTCCTCTTTTCCTTTCGTATTCCCTTTCCCTTTCATATTTCCCTTTCCCTTTCATATTCCCTTTCCCTTTCGTATTCCCCTTTCCCTTTTGTATTCCCTTTCTCTTTTAATGGTTCAAATGTATTATTTCCGACACTATTATTTGTTGCCATACCTGGAGCAGCGTAGGGATCTATTGTTGGTTGATTTTGTGGATCGTTCGTGTTTGATGTCATATGTCTAGAACTGAAAGAATTGAGAGAAAAATTTGAAACGGTATTTCTGGAGGATCTGAAGATTCTGTGATTGATGTTTAAATAATTGGAGTATTTTTTTGTGAAGAAGCATATCAACAAAATAATTTCTATGGAGGGTGAGGGTGTTGAACTTACCGACGTTCCTCCATCTTCGAAGTTCGAAAGAGGACGTTCAAAGTAGCAATGTTGGTCCATTTTCGGAAGAGGATTTTTAAACTATTAATGTTGGTATTTCTTCAAAAAGTAGACAGTTTATTATATAAGACGGGGAACGTTAACACATTTATCAGTTTGGTGTTGATAAAATTTGAGGAGCTGCAAACAAACCCGTTGGAAAATAAAGTATTTGTTGTTTTTCTATAACCCATAATACTTTCGGAACGTTACTAACGTCCCTTTTCGTTTTTTACTTTAGAGAATGGTTCCTGGACTTGAATTTTGGTCTGGAACTCTGAAATAAGAAGTTGAGACTTGAGACGGGTTAAAACTTCGGAAAATAAGGTATTTGTAGTTATAACAATATCTTTACATTTTGGAGGCGCTTGTAGATACGAACCACTAATGGAATGGTAGTGGTCGGCATTTTTTCTATTATGGGAACGTTAGTAAACGTTACTGACGTTCCTTTATTTGGTTTTTTTTTAATAGGAACAATCCTGGAAGTTATATATATCACCCTCAAGGTCTATATAAATATGTTTTATGGGGAAGTTGGCACTCACAATAGCATCTCTCCTTCTTATTCCTGCACGTTGTAGAGATTGGCAAGCTTTGAGAATAGATGAAAAATGGTTGAAACTCATTTTCTGAAATCAATCAATTTGCCAATGAATTTGTCTAATTGATTTGTAAATATATTACATTAAGAATTGCCAAATTGTGTTAAAGTACCAAGATTCACACCATCCATGAGTGGAGTTATTTTGAGCTCTTCTAATTCAATATATACTTGAATAATAGTAAGGTGTGGAATGCTGAATTTTTGCATATAAAAAGAGTGCATTAATATTACCCAACTTTTTCATTACTAGTTAAATTAGCTGGATAGAATAAGAGATACAAATGCCAAATCATTGTGGATGGATTTATCAATTATGGAATAATCTAAGATACAGGAATTGGGATTTAACAAAGTTTGATATCCAACAATTACTCTATTTACTTTTATATTTTTCGTCCTATTGGTCTAATAATAATGTATTGTCATATGATTTATACGTACTATACTTTATGCATGCATATTAAAAATTTAAATAAATGTTTGATAAGAAGATTGCTATTTTCAGTATTTTGGTTACAATTACGAATCATTATACAGATTTATGCATTAATATTATTCTTTTTTTTAAAAACGTTTCAAAATCATTTATAAAAAAAAAAAAAAATTATTTTGTTGGGTTTATTCACTTTATTGTATTAATAATTTGGTTTTTTTGTTTTTATAAAATTATAAAATGTCATCATCAGATTCTTCTAATAATACAAACAATGATAGTATCATTAACATTGGTAAAGATGACGAAAGTTCTGTTAAAAAAAGAGTATCCCCTGTATATCAATATTTTACATTCAATGATGAACTAAGTCGCTGGTATTGTGACTATTGTGCGTAAGTATATATTTTCATGCTTTAATATTATAAATTTACAATCTAAAATTAATTGTATTGTTTGAATAATAGGAAGGATTTTGGAGATAATACCTCAAATCTTTGGAGACATATTAAAAGAATCCATAGCGAAATTCTTGGTGAATCTGAAAAAACAAATAGTAATAATAATGAAAAAGTTAGTTTAATATTTTAATTTTCAATACAAATATTATGCAATAAGCAGTATTAATTAGAACATTTACTTGTTTATTTTTTTAAGCCTACACAGCATGGTTTTCAAAAAAAATTACTCCAATGGGTAGTGCGAGATGACCAACCATTTATCACAATCGAATGTCAGGAATTTAAAAATATGGTAAAATATTTGTAGCCTAGTGTTAATGTACCATCAGCAAATACATTAAGAAGAGATTTAAGTGCAAATTTTGAGCAAGTAAAAGATAAAGTTCGCCTGGAATTACAAGTTAGTATTTAGTAATCACATAAATAATAATTATATAATTATTTTTAAATATTAATAATAATATAATTTAAAAATAGGAAACTCCTGGTTTGCTTTTTTTTACAGTAGATGCTTGGACAAGTAAAAACCAACTACCATTTCTTGGTATATCTGTTCATTGGATTAATAAAAAGTGTGAATTACAAAGTTTAACTTTAGATTTTTGCCTTTTATCGGGACAGCATTCTGGAGAAAACCTTGCTCAACAATTTTTGAAGGTTTTGGAAGATTTTAATATAGAAACAAAAGTATGTAATTATATTGGTTTAGAAATTTTAATTTTTTTTTTAATATTTTTTTTTTGATTTTAGCTTTTAGCTATAGGGTGTGACAATGCGTCAAATATGGATGTTATGCTAAATAAAATATCTAGTTCTTTACGTAGTAAAAATATTTTGTTTAATCCAAACAATCAACGTGTAAGATGTTTCGCACACATCATTAACTTAGCGGCAAAAAAAGCTGTTGAAAATCTTTATATATCTGATTTGAATGATGATGATAATTTAGATATTGGAGAAATTACTAATGAATTAATGAGTGTTATTTATAAAGTAATTTATTAATTATAAATATACTATATAATTTAAGTTTTAATACTAAAATTTATTCTTTTTATTATATTAATATTTAATACAGTCAACTCTGGATATAACGAACCCTCCGTTCCAGAAGGTTTAGTTCGGTATATAGTGAATTCGTTATATAATATACCGAACTAGTTTTCTTTATAGGCAATTTAGGCCAAATTTGTAATGCTGGCCAAAATTATATTTTCTTTTAACATAAATTTTCGAAAAAATTACTAGTAATTCTGGCCAGCACTATAAAATTGGCCTGGACTACTATATAGTCACATGACCGTTCGTTATAGAAANGTAAGTCGCTGGTATTGTGACTATTGTGCGTAAGTATATATTTTCATGTTTTAATATTTATTTTCATGCTTTAATATTATAAATTTACAATCTAAAATTAATTGTATTGTTTGAATAATAGGAAGGATTTTGGAGATAATACCTCAAATCTTTGGAGACATATTAAAATAATCCATAGCGAAATTCTTGGTGAATCTGAAAAAACAAATAGTAATAATAATGAAAAAGTTAGTTTAATATTTTAATTTTCAATACAAATATTATGCAATAAGCAGTATTAATTAGAACATTTACTTGTTTATTTTTTTAAGCCTACACAGCATGGTTTTCGAAAAAAATTACTCCAATGGGTAGTACGAGATGACCAACCATTTATTACAATCGAATGTCAGGAATTTAAAAATATGGTAAAATATTTGTGGCCTAGTATTAATGTACCATCAGCAAATACATTAAGAAGAGATTTAAGTGCAAATTTTGAGCAAGTAAAAGATAAAGTTCGCCTGGAATTACAAGTTAGTATTTAGTAATCACATAAATAATAATTATATAATTATTAAATATTAATAATAATATAATTTAAAAATAGGAAACTCCTGGTTTGCTTTCTTTTACAGTAGATGCTTGGACAAGTAAAAACCAACTACCATTTCTTGGTATATCTGTTCATTGGATTAACAAAAAGTGGGAACTACAAAGTTTAACTTTAGATTTTTGCCTTTTATCGGGACAGCATTCTGGAGAAAACCTTGCTCAACAATTTTTGAAGGTTTTGGAAGATTTTAATATAGAAACAAAAGTATGTAATTATATTGGTTTAGAAATTTTAATTTTTTTTTTAATATTTTTTTTTTGATTTTAGCTTTTAGCTATAGGGTGCGACAATGCGTCAAATATGGATGTTATGCTAAATAAAATATCTAGTTCTTTACGTAGTAAAAATATTTCGTTTAATCCCAACAATCAACGTGTAAGATGTTTCGCACACATCATTAACTTAGCGGCAAAAAAAGCTGTTGAAAATCTTTATATATCTGATTTGAATGATGATGATAATTTAGATATTGGAGAAACTACTAATGAATTAATGAGTGTTATTTATAAAGTAATTTATTAATTATAAATATACTATATAACTTAAGTTTTAATGATACTAAAATTTATTCTTTTTATTATATTAATATTTAATATTAGCTTCGAAAATTAGTAGTAAGGATACGTGCATCTCCACAAAGAAGAGAACGTTTTCAACAGCAATGTGTTGCTATTGAACTTCCAGAGCTTGAATTACTGCCAGATATCAAGACACGTTGGAATTCTACAGAAATTATGATTGAACGAGCTTTAAAACTTCGACAAGCACTTCATAATTTCACTTCGGCTGATAGAGATTTAAAACATTACTTATTTTCAGATAATGAATGGAAGCTTATTGAAGAAATTCATTTACTAATGCAGGTTTGTAAATTATAATTATTGTTTTTTAAAAAAAATAATTATTTATTAATATTTTATGAATTTTATTTTATATAGTATTTTAAAATATGTTCAGATTATATTACTGGTCAATTATATCCTACTCTTGCCTTTACCATCCCAGCATATAATTATCTATTAGATAAAATCGAAGATATTATTGATAATAATAATATAAGAATTGAAATTAAGAATGCGGCAACTGCCGCAAAAAAAAAATTGAAGAATATTATCCTACTACTGGTGGACATATATATATAATTGCTACAGGTTAGTTGAATTACAAAAAGTGTATTTTATAATTTTTATAAATTTATATTTATTATTTATTATTCATAATTATTAAATAGCAATGGATCCACGATTAAAATTACAATATTATGATGACAATGATTGTTAGGCTTAATATATTTTAGAAGCTAAAAAAATTGTTACAGATATATGGAATAATTTTTATAAAAATAATATAGATATTAGCCAATCTTCAGATAATTTAGAAGATGATCTTCTTTCACATATTTTCAAAAAACGAAAAACTGAACGGGATGATGAATTAAAATCTTATTTTAGAGAACCAACTATATCTAAATCAACAGATGTACTTGCATGGTGGAAGGTAAATTTTATTGTAAAATTTAATTATAATAATATATATTATTAAATATAAACTTATTTTTTATTAATTTTTTTAATAAGTACAAGAAGCTAATTATCCAAATCTTTCTAAAATGGCTTTAGATTATTTAGCTATTCCAGGTTAATATTTAAATAACATTATTATAATAATATTTTTAATTATTTAATAATATATTTTTATTGTTTTTTAGCGACAAGTGCTCCTGTAGAACGTATTTTTTCAAGTGGTACCGATTTAGTTACACAAAAAAGATGTAGTTTAAAAGGTGAAACTATTAGAGAATTAATGTGTTTAAAAAGTTGGTGGAAATTAGGCTTCAATGAACCTATAATTATCAAAGATTAATTTTTTAAATTATTTTTTTTAAAAAAATCAATTTATGTATAAAACTTATATAAATATATATATAATAAAAAGAAATTATTTATCAGAATTTTTATAATTATATAAAAATAAAAAATTAATTAATTTGTTTAATAACTTATAAAATATAAATATAATTTATATTTTATTAAGGGTTTAAATCTTATATACAAGTATATTGCAATATCCTATCCTTTATAATATTTTATATAAAAGTCAAAAACACTATTTTAATTGGCTATTAAGTAAAATTGTAAAATAAGCAAAAATATATATAATATATATCTTTTAAAAGTTCTATAATATGTATATAGAGAAAATTACCAAAAAAAAAGGATGTGTTACTACATAATTGCATAAAATGTTTTTATTAAAATTAATTTTAAAGTATTCTTTTAAATTTAAAAAAGAAAATATTAAAATAATATTTTTTTTTATTTAATGATTATAAAAAAATAAAATTACTACTGTTAAATTCATTTCAATAAGATATATTAAATGGTAGTAATTTACCCTTTTATAATTACTTAATAGTAAAAAATTTAATTTGTAGTTTTTTCTAGAATTTTATAATTTTTGAGCAAAATTCATAATGCCGGCCAGAATTACAATATCACGTAATTTCGGAATTCGGGTAAATAGTTTAGCCACCAGAAAATTAATGTTACACAAGAAAAAAACACATTTCAATACGCACAAAATCCGTGTAACATAAATTTCCTTATTAGGAAATTATATTTACGAAATTTGTGTAACATAAATTTCCTTATTAGGAAATT